GACTCTGAAATAAATGAGCCTAAGATTCTGTTGTCACACACACCTGTCCCCTGGACAAACTCACACACCAGAACACACCATCATACTGTTGTCACACACAGGACATACAATACTGTTGACACACACACCTGTCCAGTGGACAATACTTTTGTCACACACACCTGTCCCCTGGACATGCCTGTTGTTACACACACCTGTCCCCTGGACATAACTGTTGTCACACACACCTGTCCCCCGGACATAACTGTTGTCACACACACCTGTCCCCTGGACATAACTGTTGTCACACACACACCTGTCCCCTGGACATAACTGTTGTCACACACACACCTGTCCCCTGGACATTACTGTTGACACACACACCTGTCCCCTGGACATTACTGTTGTCACACACACACCTGTCCCCTGGACATTACTGTTGTCACACACACCTGTCCCCTGGACATAACTGTTGTCACACACACCTGTCCCCTGGACATGCCTGTTGTCACACACACCTGTCCCCTGGACATAACTGTTGTCACACACACCTGTCCCCCGGACATAACTGTTGTCACACACACCTGTCCCCTGGACAATACTGTTGTCACACACACCTGTCCCCTGGACAATACTGTTGTCACACACACCTGTCCCCTGGACAATATTGTTGTCACACACACCTGTCCCCTGGACATGCCTGTTGTCACACACACCTGTCCCCCGGACATAACTGTTGTCACACACACCTGTCCCCTGGACAATACTGTTGTCACACACACACCTGTCCCCTGGACAATACTGTTGTCACACACACACCTGTCCCCTGGACATGCCTGTTGTCACACACACCTGTCCCCTGGACATGCCTGTTGTCACACACACCTGTCCCCTGGACAATACTGTTGTCACACACACACCTGTCCCCTGGACAATACTGTTGTCACACACACCTGTCCCCTGGACATGCCTGTTGTCACACACACCTGTCCCCTGGACAATACTGTTGTCACACACACACCTGTCCCCTGGACATGCCTGTTGTCACACACACCTGTCCCCTGGACAATACTGTTGTCACACACACCTGTCCCCTGGACATGCCTGTTGTCACACACACCTGTCCCCTGGACAATACTGTTGTCACACACACACCTGTCCCCTGGACATGCCTGTTGTCACACACACCTGTCCCCTGGACAATACTGTTGTCACACACACCTGTCCCCTGGACATAACTGTTGTCACACACACACCTGTCCCCTGGACATAACTGTTGTCACACACACCTGTCCCCCGGACATAACTGTTGTCACACACACACCTGTCCCCTGGACATTACTGTTGACACACACACCTGTCCCCTGGACATTACTGTTGTCACACACACACCTGTCCCCTGGACATAACTGTTGTCACACACACACCTGTCCCCTGGACATTACTGTTGACACACACACCTGTCCCCTGGACATTACTGTTGTCACACACACCTGTTCCCTGGACATAACTGTTGTCACACACACCTGTCCCCTGGACATAACTGTTGTCACACACACCTGTTCCCTGGACATAACTTTTGACACACACACCTGTCCCCTGGACATAACTGTTGTCACACACACCTGTCCCCTGGACATAACTTTTGACACACACACCTGTTCCCTGGACATAACTGTTGTCACACACACCTGTCCCCTGGACATAACTTTTGACACACACACCTGTCCCCTGGACATAACTGTTGTCACACACACCTGTCCCCTGGACATAACTTTTGACACACACACCTGTTCCCTGGACATAACTGTTGTCACACACACCTGTCCCCTGGACATAACTTTTGACACACACACCTGTCCCCTGGACATAACTGTTGTCACACACACCTGTCCCCTGGACATAACTTTTGACACACACACCTGTCCCCTGGACATAACTTTTGACACACACACCTGTCCCCTGGACATAACTTTTGACACACACACCTGTCCCCTGGACATAACTTTTGACACACACACCTGACCCCTGGACATAACTTTTGACACACACACCTGACCCCTGGACATTACTTTTGACACACACACCTGACCCCTGGACATTACGTTTGACACACACACCTGACCCCTGGACATTACGTTTGACACACACACCTGACCCCTGGACATAACTTTTGACACACACACCTGTCCCCTGGACATAACTTTTGACACACACACCTGTCCCCTGGACATAACTGTTGTCACACACACCTGTCCCCTGGACATAGCTGTTGGCACACACACCTGTCCCCTGGACAATACTGTTGTCACACACACCTGTCCCCTGGACATAACTGTTGTCACACACACCTGTCCCCTGGACATGCCTGTTGTCACACACACCTGTCCCCTGGACAATACTGTTGTCACACACACACCTGTCCCCTGGACAATACTGTTGTCACACACACCTGTCCCCTGGACATGCCTGTTGTCACACACACCTGTCCCCTGGACAATACTGTTGTCACACACACACCTGTCCCCTGGACATGCCTGTTGTCACACACACCTGTCCCCTGGACAATACTGTTGTCACACACACCTGTCCCCTGGACATAACTGTTGTCACACACACACCTGTCCCCTGGACATAACTGTTGTCACACACACCTGTCCCCCGGACATAACTGTTGTCACACACACACCTGTCCCCTGGACATTACTGTTGACACACACACCTGTCCCCTGGACATTACTGTTGTCACACACACACCTGTCCCCTGGACATAACTGTTGTCACACACACACCTGTCCCCTGGACATTACTGTTGACACACACACCTGTCCCCTGGACATTACTGTTGTCACACACACCTGTTCCCTGGACATAACTGTTGTCACACACACCTGTCCCCTGGACATAACTGTTGTCACACACACCTGTTCCCTGGACATAACTGTTGTCACACACACCTGTCCCCTGGACATAACTTTTGACACACACACCTGTCCCCTGGACATAACTGTTGACACACACACCTGTCCCCTGGACATAACTTTTGACACACACACCTGTCCCCTGGACATAACTTTTGACACACACACCTGTCCCCTGGACATAACTGTTGACACACACACCTGTCCCCTGGACATAACTTTTGACACACACACCTGTCCCCTGGACATAACTGTTGACACACACACCTGTCCCCTGGACATAACTGTTGACACACACACCTGTCCCCTGGACATAACTTTTGACACACACACCTGTCCCCTGGACATAACTGTTGGCACACACACCTGTCCCCCGGACATTACTGCCACATTGCATTCCAAACATTGATTTTGATCTTAGTTACCAATAAAAGAAGTCATTAGAACCCACATTGAGAGAACTGCCGATGTAGTTCCCAAACACTCGACAAAAACCTTAAAGTTCCTACAACATTACGAAGTCACAACGTAACAAAATATACGCATGTGGTCACGTTGTGGTCATGTTGGAGTGACGTTGAGGTCACGTTGGGGTGACGTTGGGGTGATGTTGAGGTCACGTTGGGGTGATGTTGAGGTCACGTTGGGGTGACGTTGAGGTCATGTTGGGGTGATGTTGAGGTCACGTTGGGGTGACGTTGGGGTGATGTTGAGGTCACGTTGGGGTGATGTTGAGGTCACGTTGGGGTGACGTTGAGGTCATGTTGGGGTGATGTTGAGGTCACGTTGAGGTGACGTTGGGGTGATGTTGAGGTCACGTTGGGGTGATGTTGAGGTCACGTAGGGGTGATGTTGAGGTCACGTTGGGGTGACGTTAGGGGTGACGTTGAGGTCATGTTGGGGTGACGTTGGGGTGATGTTGAGGTCACGTTGGGGTGATGTTGAGGTCACGTTGTGGTCATGTTGGGGGTGATGTTGAGGTCACGTTGGGGTGACGTTGAGGTCACTTTGGAGTGACGTTGGGGTCACGTTGGGGTGACGTTGAGGTCACGTTGGGGTGACGTTGAGGTCACGTTGGGGTGACGTTGAGGTCACGTTGGGGTGACGTTGAGGTCACGTTGGGGTGATGTTGAGATCACGTTGGGGGTGACGTTGGGGTGATGTTGAGGTCACGTTGGGGTGATGTTGAGGTCACGTTGGGGTGACGTTGAGGTCACGTTGGGGTGACGTTGGGGTGATGTTGAGGTCACGTTGGGGTAATGTTGAGGTCACGTTGTGGTCACGTTGGGGTGATGTTGAGGTCACGTTGGGGTGATGTTGAGGTGACGTTGAGGTCACGTTAGGGTCACGTTGGGGTGACGTTGAGGTGACGTTGGGGTGACGTTGAGGTGACGTTGGGGTGATGTTGAGGTCACGTTGTGGTGATGTTGAGGTGACGTTGTCGTCACGTTGGGGTGATGTTGAGGTGACGTTGAGGTCACGTTGGGGTGATGTTGAGGTCACGTTGTGGTCACGTTGGGGTGATGTTGAGGTCACGTTGAGGTGACGTTGAGGTCACGTTGGGGTGATGTTGAGGTCACGTTGTGGTCACGTTGTGGTCATGTTGGGGTGACGTTGTAGTCACGTTGGGGTGACGTTGTGGTCACGTTGGGGTGACGTTGTGGTCACGTTGGGGTGACGTTGTGGTCACGTTGGGGTGACGTTGTGGCCACGTTGGGGTGACGTTGTGGTCACGTTATCTTGAGGTTATCTTGAGATGATTTCGGGGCTTTTAGTGTCCCCGCGGCCCGGTCCTCGACCAGGCCTCCACCCCCAGGAAGCAGCCCGTGACAGCTGAACAACACCCAGGTACCTATTTTACTGCTAGGTAACAGGGGCATAGGGTGAAAGAAACTCTGCCCATTGTTTCTCGCCGGCGCCTGGGATCGAACCCAGGACCACAGGATCACAAGTCCAGCGTGCTGGCCGCTCGGCCGACCGGCTCCCACCGGGGTGACCACAATTAATTATAATTATGGTAATTAGGCTAGGATAGGTCTTAGTAGAAACATAAATACAAAACATTTTTTCCGGTTTGTTCAAATTGAGTAGTACCAAATTCTACTTCGGCATTGTGTCAGTATATGTAGGATGGTCCACATCGTTATTGTAAGTACTATCTAAACAGAAGGATGTGCTGTGATGTGCAGGGGGCCACATGTTTGCTGGTGTAGGGTGAGCTGTGATGTGCAGGTGGGCACATACTGGTGTAGGGTGAGCTGTGATGTGCAGGTGGGCACATGTTTGCTGGTGTAGGGTGAGCTGTGATGTGCAGGTGGGCACATGCTTGCTGGTGTAGGGTGAGCTGTGATGTGCAGGTGGGCACATGCTTGCTGGTGTAGGGTGAGCTGTGATGTGCAGGTGGGCACATGCTTGCTGGTGTAGGGTGAGCTGTGATGTGCAGGTGGGCACATGCTTGCTGGTGTAGGGTGAGCTGTGATGTGCAGGTGGGCACATGCTTGCTGGTGTAGGGTGGGCTGTGATGTGCAGGTGGGCATATACTGGTGTAGGGTGGGCTGTGATGTGCAGGTGGGCACATGCTTGCTGGTGTAGGGTGGGCTGTGATGTGCAGGTGGGAACATGTTTGCTGGTGTAGGGTGAGCTGTGATGTGCAGGTGGGCACATACTGGTGTAGGGTGAGCTGTGATGTGCAGGTGGGCACATGTTTGCTGGTGTAGGGTGAGCTGTGATGTGCAGGTGGGCACATGTTTGCTGGTGTAGGGTGAGCTGTGATGTGCAGGTGGGCACATGCTTGCTGGTGTAGGGTGGGCTGTGATGTGCAGGTGGGCACATGCTTGCTGGTGTAGGGTGGGCTGTGATGTGCAGGTGGGCACATGCTTGCTGGTGTAGGGTGGGCTGTGATGTGCAGGTGGGCACATGCTTGCTGGTGTAGGGTGGGCTGTGATGTGCAGGTGGGCACATGCTTGCTGGTGTAGGGTGGGCTGTGATGTGCAGGTGGGCACATGCTTGCTGGTGTAGGGTGAGCTGTGATGTGCAGGTGGGCACATGCTTGCTGGTGTAGGGTGAGCTGTGATGTGCAGGTGGGCACATGCTTGCTGGTGTAGGGTGAGCTGTGATGTGCAGGTGGGCACATGCTTGCTGGTGTAGGGTGAGCTGTGATGTGCAGGTGGGCACATGCTTGCTGGTGTAGGGTGGGCTGTGATGTGCAGGTGGGCACATGCTTGCTGGTGTAGGGTGGGCTGTGATGTGCAGGTGGGCACATGTTTGCTGGTGTAGGGTGGGCTGTGATGTGCAGGTGGGCACATGCTTGCTGGTGTAGGGTGGGCTGTGATGTGCAGGTGGGCACATGCTTGCTGGTGTAGGGTGGGCTGTGATGTGCAGGTGGGCACATGCTTGCTGGTGTAGGGTGGGCTGTGATGTGCAGGTGGGCACATGTTTGCTGGTGTAGGGTGAGCTGTGATGTGCAGGTGGGCACATGCTTGCTGGTGTAGGGTGGGCTGTGATGTGCAGGTGGGCACATGCTTGCTGGTGTAGGGTGGGCTGTGATGTGGAGGTGGGCACATGCTTGCTGGTGTAGGGTGGGCTGTGATGTGCAGGTGGGCACATGCTTGCTGGTGTAGGGTGGGCTGTGATGTGCAGGTGGGCACATGTTTGCTGGTGTAGGGTGAGCTGTGATGTGCAGGTGGGCACATGTTTGCTGGTGTAGGGTGAGCTGTGATGTGCAGGTGGGCACATGCTTGCTGGTGTAGGGTGGGCTGTGATGTGCAGGTGGGCACATGCTTGCTGGTGTAGGGTGGGCTGTGATGTGCAGGTGGGCACATACTGGTGTAGGGTGGGCTGTGATGTGCAGGTGGGCACATACTGGTGTAGGGTGGGCTGTGATGTGCAGGTGGGCACATACTGGTGTAGGGTGGGCTGTGATGTGCAGGTGGGCACATACTGGTGTAGGATGTGCTGTGATGTGCAGGTGGGCACATACTGGTGTAGGGTGGGCTGTGATGTGCAGGTGGGCACATACTGGTGTAGGGTGGGCTGTGATGTGCAGGTGGGCACATACTGGTGTAGGGTGGGCTGTGATGTGCAGGTGGGCACATACTGGTGTAGGGTGGGCTGTGATGTGCAGGTGGGCACATACTGGTGTAGGGTGGGCTGTGATGTGCAGGTGGGCACATACTGGTGTAGGGTTTGTGGCCTCGTCATGTTTTCATGTGGGCAACTTGGTGTAGATATTGTCCATCTCTTTCTTTAGTGTTATTGCTGAGTGTGGCGTGGTGAACGTCCCGTGGAGGGCTCTTGAGGCAGTCATGGGCCCCGGTCACCTGTTATTACTTCTGCTGAGTTGTCCCCTCCCCCCTCGTCTCCCCCCTTCCCCCTCTCCCGCTCCCCCTCGTCTCCCCCCTTCCCCCTCTCCCGCTCCCCCTCGTCTCCACCCTCTTCTCCCCCTCCTTCCCCTCCCCCTCCCCCCTCACCCGTGAGCCAGTGAAGACAGTCGTAGTGTAGCCTCCTGGGACACATAAGTATGCTACAGTTACATAGCACATGCTATGTGCTCTATAATGTTGTTCTCTGGAATTCTTATTGTATCTGGTTCCCTGAAGATTTCATTTTGTACAAACACACTTTGGAACTTTTCGTTTAATGTTTCACATTGTGTGTGTGTGTGTGTGTGTGTGTGTGTGTGTGTGTGTGTGTGTGTGTGTGTGTGTGTGTGTGTGTGTGTGTGTGTGTGTGTGTGTGTGTGTGTGTGTGTGTGGGTGGAAAAAAGTTGATTGACAGTTGAGAGGCGGGCCGAAAGAGTCAGTGCTCAACCCCCCCCCCCCCCCCCGCAAGTACAAGTTGAATACACACCCACAAATGAAATGCATCAGGAGTGATGTGGCGGAGACAGACTTCATACACAGTTAAAATGTAAATATAACAGAGCCCAATAGACTCATCAACGTGTACACCAGTTGATTGGCAGTTGAGAGGCGGGACTAAAAAGCCGAAGCTCAACCCCCGCAGAGTACACTGAGCGAGTACACACGAAATGCAAAGCCTACAGATAGACGCCATTCAAACACTGACACACACACACACACACACACACACACACACACACACACACACACACACACACACACACACACACACACACACACACACAAACCAGGTAGATATACACTAACGACCCGAGTAAGTTGCCATACAGACACACACTCCAGCACACACACTAATATACAGACCTCTCAGACGTGAGCGCATGCGCACGGGTTCCCGTCCTCGCATCCTGATACAATACGATATAGCGTAGTTTCCGATATAGTTTCCGGTGTGCATTACCAGGGCCGAACGGAACAATATACACCTGAAACACACACCTGAAACTATCACCAACACCAAATGAGGTTGTTCCATTTGCCGACGGGAGAGGAATTAAATGGTCTAATGCTTATCTAATTACGTGTGGCATTTAATTCTAATGTATTTTCGCGCCAGAGGCTGAGGAAGACTGGCTACAATATGCGAGGTGTTGTGAGCTGTGTCGCTTCTCAACACCTTCTTCTCTTCATATGTTTACCTTGTAGCTCATGTTGTGAGTTGTGACCAGTTGTAGCTCAAGAATCCAACCGTTCCATGAACAATTCCACAAGGGCCTTGGTGAGGGTTCGAACCTATGTGCAGGATGTTCCCAGACGCGCTCTAGTCCACTGTACCACCACATGGTAAAGCTCTTGGACCCCCGCCTTTTTAACCAATTTATTTGTCCTCGTTTATGTCTGCTACATATACTTGTCTCTAACACACACACACAACAGCCCGTCCTCTTAAAATAACGCCGCTTTTCGCTCGTATGAGCGCTATGGCCAAAAATGGACGTAGTTTGAAACGAAATCGGCTCACTTTCGTGAGCCGATTTCGTTTGTACAATGTACTTTTTTCCACTTCGTCTAGAGACGAAGTGGAAAAAATGCTCAAGGAACTAAATAAGAACAAAGCAGTTGGTCCAGATGGAGTTTCATCATGGGTTCTGAGAGAATGTGCACCTGAGCTCAGCATTCCACTTCAACTGATTTTTCAGGCATCCCTGTTTACAGGAGTTGTAGCTGATGTGTGGAAAAAGGCTAACATAGTTCCAATCTACAAAAGTGGAAGCAGGGAAGACCCCCTTAATTATAGACCGGTATCATTGACAAGTGTAATAGTGAAAATATTGGAAAAAATAATTAAAACTAAATGGGTAGAACACCTGGAGAGAAATGATATAATATCAGACAGAGAGTATGGTTTTCGATCTGGAAGATCCTGTGTATCGAATTTACTCAGTTTCTATGATCGAGCAACAGAGATATTACAGGAAAGAGATGGTTGGGTTGACTGCATCTATCTGGATCTAAAAAAAGGCTCTCGACAGAGTTCCACATAAGAGGTTGTTCTGGAAACTGGAAAATATTGGAGGAGTGACAGGTAAGCTTCTAACATGGATGAAAAATTTTCTGACTGATAGAAAAATGAGGGCAGTAATCAGAGACAATGTATCAGACTGGAGAAATGTCACAAGTGGAGTACCACAGGGTTCAGTTCTTGCACCAGTGATGTTTATTGTCTACATAAATGTATACAGTTGGTATACAGAATTATATGAACATGTTTGCTGATGATGCTAAGATAATAGGAAGGATAAGAAACTTAGATGATTGTCATGCCCTTCAAGATGACCTGGACAAAATAAGTATATGGAGCAAATGGAATTTAATGTTAATAAATGCCATGTTATGGAATGTGGAATAGGAGAACATAGACCCCACACAACCTATATATTATGTGAGAAATCTTTAAAGAATTCTGATAAAGAAAGAGATCTAGGGGTGGTTCTAGATAGAAAACTATCACCTGAGGACCACATAAAGAATATTGTGCGAGGAGCCTATGCCACGCTTTCTAACTTCAGAATTGCTTTTAAATACATGGATGGCGATATACTAAAGAAATTGTTCACGACTTTTGTTAGGCCAAAGCTAGAATATGCAGCAGTTGTGTGGTGCCCATATCTTAAGAAGCACATCAACAAACTGGAAAAGGTGCAAAGACATGCTACTAAGTGGCTCCCAGAACAGAAGGGCAAGAGCTACGAGGAGAGGTTAGAGGCATTAAATATGCCAAAACTAGAAGACAGAAGAAAAAGCTGTGATATGATCACTACATACAAAATAGTAACAGGAATTGATAAAATCGATAGGGAAGATTTCCTGAGACCTGGAACTTTAAGAACAAGAGGTCATAGATATAAACTAGCTAAACATAGATGCCGAAGAAATATAAGAAAATTCACTTTCGCAAACAGAGTGGTAGACGGTTGGAACAAGTTAGGGGAGAAGGTGGTGGAGGCCAAGACCGTCAGTAGTTTCAAAGCGTTATATGACAAAGAGTGCTGGGAAGACGGGACACCACGAGCGTAGCTCTCATCCTGTAACTACACCTAGGTAATTGCACACACACACACACACACACACACACACACACACACACACACACACACACACACACACACACACACACACACACACACACACACACACACACACACACACACATACAAACACACACACACACACACACAACTGAAGAGTAAGGGGAGACATGATAACCACCTACAAAATTCTCAGGGGAATTGACAGGGTGGACAAAGACAAACTCTTCAGCACGGGTGGGACACGAACAAGGAGACACAGGTGGAAATTTAATACCCAGATGAGCCACAGAGACGTTAGAAATAATTTTTTCAGTGTCAGAGTAGTTAATAAATGGAATGCATTAGGAAGTGATGTGGTGGAGGCTGACTCCATACACAGTTTCAAATGTAGATATGATAGAGCCCAGTAGGCTCAGGAATCTGTACACCAGCTGATTGACAGTTGAGAGGCGGAACCAAAGAGCCAGAGCTCAACCAGGAAGCAACCCGTAGGAGCTGTCTAGCTACCAAGTACCTATATACTGCTAGGTGAACAGAGGTATCGGGGTGAAAGAAACTGCCCATTTGTTTCCGCCATCGCCGAGGATTGATCGTCGGATCCTGGGATTACGAATACCGAGCGCTGTTTACTCAGCCATCAGGCCCCTTGGTGTGTGTGTGTGTGTGTGTGTGTGTGTGTGTGTGTGTGTGTGTGTGTGTGTGTGTGTGTGTGTGTGTGTGTGTGTGTGTGTGTGTGTATGTGTGTGTGTGTGTGTGCGCGCGCGTGTGTGTGTGTGTGTATTTCGTGTATATACACACGAGCGCGCCCAAAAGTGGGTTTGGACGTGAGTAGGAATGACAAAGTATTTGAATAATTCTGTAGTTTAGAGTTAAGATACGATTTTCCCAATGAGAACGTCCCTTAGGAAACTACTTTTCCTTAAGGCAAAGTGTGTCCGCCGACGGCCTGGAGGCCCGACAGGTGTGACCTGTCGACCCATTATTCTGGTAAAGGATAGCTGACAGACTAACTGTGCCTCTTTGTATTAGAGTAAACCTTATGGTCTTCCAGTTAGGAAATAGAAGAGAGATTTTGTCATTTTTTGGAGTATATTTCCACCGGGTTGTCATAGGATATACCCGTATCCCCCACCAGGTTGTCATGAAGTATACCCGTATCCCCCACCAGGTTGTCATGAAGTATACCCATATCCCCCACCAGGTTGTCATGAAGTATACCCGTATCCCCCACCAGGTTGTCATGAAGTATACCCATATCCCCCACCAGGTTGTCATGAAGTATACGCATATCCCCCACCAGGAAGTCATGAAGTATACCCGTATCCCCCACCAGGTTGTCATGAAGTATACCCATATCCCCCACCAGGAAGTCATGAAGTATACCCATATCCCCCACCAGGAAGTCATGAAGTATACCCATATCCCCCACCAGGTTGTCATGAAGTATACCCATATCCCCCACCAGGTTGTCATGAAGTATACCCATATCCCCCACCAGGTTGTCACGAAGTATACCCATTATCCCCCACCAGGTTGTCATGAAGTATACCCATATCCCCCCACCAGGTTGTCATGAAGTATACCAATATCCCCACACCAGGTTGTCATGAAGTATACCCATATCCCCCCACCAGGTTGTCATGAAGTATACCCATATCCCCACACCAGGTTGTCATGAAGTATACCCATATCCCCACACCAGGTTGTCATGAAGTATACCCATATCCCCACACCAGGTTGTCATGAA